AGTGGGGGGGGAGCCACGTGTGTGTGTGTGTGGGGGTGTCACTCGTGGGGGAAAATCTGAGCCCAGAGGAAAATGTGAGCTCGGGGTGAGTCGCAGCTGCCTCCATCCCCGGGTGGCAGTGCCCGGGAGGGTTCCCAGGGCAGGGCCTGCTCCTTTAGTTGCTCCTCAGACCATCGTTCTCCCCTTGTCCCTGTGCTGGGGCTCAAACACGGGGGTGCTGAGCACTGGGAGCTGCCCGTGGGGCTGTGCTGGCTGCAGGCAAGGCCAGGCTGGGCTGTGCTGCAGGCACAAGGGGGGCAGCTCCTTCTTGAGCAGGAATTTGGGTAAATCAGTGAGGAGAACCTTCTCTGCAGTGTCCCTGCTTGGCCAGTCTGCCCGGCTGGGGCTCCCAGTTAGAAAGCCATGTGGTGGCTGGGTGGGCTGTGCTGGGCAGGGACCCTGCTCTGGGGGGGGATGTAAAGGCCAGGAGGTGATTCCGTGCCAGCTCCAGGTGGGAGAGGGGCCTGATGGCCTCACGTTTCCTCTGAAGAGCTTTCTGGCTGAGCTGAGAGGAGGAGGAGGAGCAGAGCCAGGTGAGCAGGGACATCTGGCCCAGCACGATCCTGCTCCCAGGCAAGTCGGAACAACAGGCTCATTAGAGGGAAATGCAGAGTTCATTAGGCTGGAAGGGGCCTGGGGTGGTGCTGGAGTGGCATGGGAGCTGGGAAGAGCCTCCTCTGCTCTGGAAGCTGTTCTGGTGGGGAAATAAAACTGATCTTCCCAGGCAGCACGACAGGACCCAGTGTGGTTGCAGCTTGGGTTGACTTTAAGGAGCACCCGGGGAACTCTGTAGGTGTGAGGAGTGTTAAAATAGGGGTGAACCAGATTTCGTGGCTGCAGGTCAGTTGGGAGAGGGTTTTCCTGGTGGCTGGAAGAAATGCCTGAGCCCCTCTGCAGCAGGGCCAGTGTGTGGTGGGGGAAACCCAGCCCTGCTGATCTCATTTCTTGTCACCGTGTCCCTTCAGAGCGCAGGTCCCAGCTGCTGCTGAGGTGCTGTGTGGGCTTTTCCTTAGCAAAGGAGAGTGAGCACCTTCCTGGAGCTCCAGGCCTGCAGCTGCTAGCCAGGCCACCTGTGTCCCTGGCAGTGCCAGGTGGGTTGTCACCATAGAGCTGGTGACACTTCCAGCTGCTCCCCCTCACCCAGAGCTTTGCCCTTGGTGCTCGGTTGATGTACGAGTGGGAAAGTGGAGGCAGGGCAGGTTTGGCAGAGAAAAAGGGAGGCTGGAGCCTTACCTAGGGGTTGTGGTCACACAAAATTTCCCCAGCAGAACTTCTTCTCTTTATCACGTGCTGGTTTAATGGAAGTGAAAGTGATCTTCAAGTGATGAAAGGAGACACAGGTCTGGAGTTCTCTGGCTGATCTCTGCAAGGGGCTGGGGTTGAGTGCTTGAGGGTGGGACGTGGGGAGGGGCTGGGTAAACACACCAGTGGTTGTAGAGGGGATGTTACAGGGCTGTGCTGCAGGTCTCCTCTGGTTTTGGGGCTGGCTGAGCCCTGCTCTGGAGCTGCTTGAGCCTTTGTTCTCTCACCAGGACTTTCTAGTGCCGTGAGTACATCTGAGCACCACCCCTCTCCCACCTCCTTGAGCTTTATGCCTCCTTTCTCAGGCTGAAAAGTGTGTGAAGCAGTTTAGGTAGAGCAGAAAATGTCCCTCATTGGGCATTTTTTTGAAAAATGAGACTTCTCCTTCACTACCCATTGAAGGTGTGCTCCATGTTTGTGCTAAAATGCCTTGACTCTGGGAGGGGTACAATGTTCCTGCTCCAGAGGGTGCCTGGAAAGAGGGACTGTGGGCAGGGGGTCACCAAGATGTGGAGCTGCTGGGCAGCTCATCCTTCCTAACCCTTGTGTGTTTTGTTTGACATCTCTAGATGATGTTGGTCTTGTTTTCTTTTAACTTGAAGGACCAGGGTGCAGAAGGCAGCCAGTTTGTGTGGGGATGCCCAGGAGCTGCTGCTGGAACAGAGCAAGGTCTTTAGTTCACTCTCCTGGTGGATTTGTGTTGGACATTTACAGGACAATTGCTCAAGGCTTTTTTCCTCGCCTCCTTTCTCAGCAGGGAACACCACCTGGGCACTAGGATGTACTGTCTGCTTGTTCTTCCACCACCTCGTCCACAGTCTTATTGATCGGTGCAAAGTGAAATCAATGGCAGTTTAAATTTTATGTCAGGCTGTGAGTCACAGTGACTGGAAAACATGCATGAAACCTTTGGTATCGGAGGGGGTTGATCCTGCTGACGGCTGGACCACTTGGTGCAGGTCAGC